CTCTCATGTTTGGAATTCTAGGGTAAGTGTGTAGATAGATAAATCACTAGGTAACAAAGCAATAGATGTACGAGCAATCAATTAGAGAAGCGAAGAAGCAATCAAGTGAATAAATCTATGAATAAGTGAGTAGAAAAAAGCAGTCAATTGATCAAATACAACAAGTGTTTCGAATGGAGGTCAAGTGCATGGCGCACCCGAAGAAAAGTAAATTTTTCACTGTTCTTTTTTGTTCAATCAGAGCTAGAACAATTTTGCGTACCCCTTACAAAGTAGTGTTTACCCTTGCTCACCCATCCGATGATAGATGATTCAAGATAAATTGTTTTAAAAATATTTGTTTATTATAAGATATTTATGATATTGCTATCCCCCATCTATTCAACGTCGTTACCCAAGTGAGCCATGCAACCACAGTTGCTACTCGGTTTTCCCTCAAAACAAAGTTGTTAGCCGCAATTAGAAGCAAAACATTGAAAGTAATGTTTCGCAAGTAAACGCTATACCAGTTGGCCGACCTACTTATGCATTAGCTTCCGCCCTGAACTTTACCATTACGGGCAACTCGAGCCACCTATTCAGGGAACTTGAAAACATAAAATACAATTAAATTATCGATATTGTGATATATGTAGATATTAAGCGTGGTTAAGGTGGTGTAGCGGCAAGTGGCGCACTATTCCACACGCATGTTCACGGGTTCGAAATCCGGATTGATATCCTCCTAAGCCAACCAAGCCTTTCTTCTCTCCGGGGTCGGGTAATTGGTAGCAGACTCGTCTCTGAGGATAAAAGCACTGACTTGTACATCTTCTTGCCCACAAGTCATTGTATGGGGCACATACGCATTCAATACGCCACCATGATTCTGAATGAAGTCGAATGCGGGACGCATCCCTCAGACGGGATTGATTCGCGTCAAAAGAAATCAACACTCAAGATATTAATACTGGGAGGAGGTGATATATGCGGTAGCAAGTGCTGTACTACTACATTACATAGCAAGTGATCGATTCCCGGATTCATACCCGGGTTTACCATGTGTTTAATCCCTCTGGGGTAGTTTAATTGTTAAAGGACTTTCTGAGAGTATGAAAGCTCAAAAAAATTTAAATAAAGTACAGCTCACCGGACACAATCGTAGATGCGGTTGTTGCTAAACTCAACTGGAACAGAAATGCTGCATACGCCCAGCCTTCTTCATTAACAGACGTCACATCTCTGAAAAATAGCTATCCCTTCAGGTTTTCAAAACACTTTTTTTTTGGACTATGCCGTTTCTTTTGCTGATCCCATTTTTCTTCCAAAGTAACTAGCGTGAGGCACTTCACTGTAAAGAATGCTTATTGACCGGAAGTAGAAGTTTAGGAAGGGTATTTGCTCGAAGGTCACTTCAGGACCTTTTGTGCCCACGGATTGAAATTTGGTTGCAGCCCCATTACTTCATTTTTCTTCAATGAAAAAAATCACGCATGATTGAGATTATCTCATCAATGCCTTCCAACCCACAGACAAAAGGTGGATAAAAGTTTGGCATCTTTCAAGAGTGGATTGGCCATGACGATTCCATGGCCAGACCATACTCAAGTTATATAGGCCACCCATCATTTTTGGATGGGTTTTGATGCACAGTACTGATCTGTAGACCTCAGTTGCCCCGTAAATAGTTGTGTGATTGGAGCTTTCTACCTAGTTTACAGTACAAATTTGTCGCTGCAACACCGGATCGCAAACGAATGCATGGCGCATCATGAAATGGATAGAGAAAACTCGAGCGCCCAATATCAAAAGCTTCAAGAAAGTTAAGTGCGTAGCGTTTTCATTTTCCAAAAGTTAGGCCCAATTTTCCATCCATTTCTTCACTGTCTATAAAAAATTTATTTCTGTGAATAGTGTAGCCCAAAAGGGAGTGTGATAAGCCAAAAAAATTCCAAGCCGTGTAAAACATTAAATGGCAGAGTCGAACCTTATTCATGCCACAAGCCAGTTGAAGCCTTTTACTAGTAATGCCAGTTACCAGGGACAAACTCAACGTAGAGAACTGACCTTGTTGGATCGTAGAAAAATCGTCCAAATCCTATNAAAAATTTATTTCTGCGAATAGTGTAGCCCAAAAGGGAGTGTGATAAGCCAAAAAAATTCCAAGCCGTGTAAAACATTAAATGGCAGCGTCCAACCTTATTCATGCCATAGACCAGTTGAAGCCTTTTACTAGTAATGCCAGTTACCAGGGACAAACTCAATGTACAGAACTGACCTTGTTGGATCGTAGAAAAATCGTCCAAATCCTATGAAGCTGTTACGAAACGGTTCATAGTCGCCGAAACTCAAACCATAACCGACGCTCCAGTACGATAAGCCGCCGAAAACTACATCAACCACATTCTTCACCATTATATTCACTTCATCTTTTGCCGATACGCTACCCGATTCGAGCAGACCAAAGCCTAAATATTTGTCTTGTGATCTGGTGTTTATTTACTTGCTTATTCATTTTTTTCTGTTGACCATTTGAGGGAGGATGAACAGAGCAATTCGAACTCACCACAGAGTCTGTTGGCTTTATTTTCCATTTTCAAAAGGAGCTTCTGATTCTAAATTTTATAAAGGCTCATTTAGTATCGATTGGTGAGAAGGGATTGTCTCCTGGATTGTCTCCTGGACCTGGATAGCCTAGCTCTGATAAATAACCCACTATATAGGAAGATCTCGCGTAAAAAAGAACTACTCTAACAGAATTCTTCATGGGATGCAAAATATCCAAAGTTCTCTTGGGGGAATTCCCCAGAAAAATAGCTGGCATTCATGAACACAGAGGTCCGTGCTCTAATCTCCGGAACTTAGTGATGCTTCCGGTGGTTGAGCACTGCACTCCGTCCCCATTCCTAGCTGTCCAACGTTGAGCGTTCAACTCACGACTTCAATGTGGAACCACAAAAACAACTGCGGTTTTTGGTCAACTGAGCAGTGCCGAAGTACAGTAGTTTTTCTGAGTAAGATTAAAAAGTGGGTGGAAAGGTGTACGTAGGTGAAATGCGAAAATCATGGGAAAACAACCGGGCTGACCTCCTGGAATGCGCTACACACGCAGCCTATGCCAAGTGTCCTAGAAGTATTTGAATGGTCCCAGAATAATTGCATGGAACTGCTTGCAAAAGACATTGCCCACTCCATTCCCACTGATGGAACACCTGCAGAACCCCCTCCTGATAATAGCAAGTGGGAGATCTTATCAAGAGGGAGTGGACAGGTTTATGAGCCCTATGGAAGTCTCATGATCGCTGCTCATTAGCCTTCAAGATTCTACAAAGTCGGTTTCCAGGTTGCCGACAGTTTTTTGAGACTACTTTTCGCGTTTGTTAGGACGTATGCACAAAGCATAGGGCAGCAGTTGTTCTCTTGTGGGTATATGCACAACCAACAGAGGAGTCAAGTACGATTCTCATGGCGCTTCCGCAGCAAAACTGATCGGGC